CTGGTGCTCTGAGAGTTGGGTGCAGCTCTGATTGTCGTCCCTTGACCCAGAATACGGCCCAATCCCAATACCCACACTGCACCCTACACACCTCTACAAAGTGTGCATTTGTTTGAAGTGCACGCAAGGGTTCGAGTGCGCAGGTTACAAGTGTGCAAAAAAGGCGGAATTGGGACAGTGAACACTGAGTGCAGGCTACGTCATCGACTCGGCAAGAGATGGTAATTTTCAGACCTAAACTTTATAATAATTAAAGGTAATTTTGTCTTAAATTGAATGTTATATGAACGCTTGCTTTAAAAAGTTATTAAATTGTTAAAATACAATGTCCGTAATTCTTCATCAGACGTTTATGCTTCTTTCCAAGAAACATAGCAAAACTTATTTACACACATTCAGCATATATATTTCAAAACATACATTTAAATGCATTTTTCCGACGTTTTGGTGTGTACCGCAAAGAATTATGGGCAATATCCTTTGCCAGAGTCCGCATGGATGCAGGCTACGGCGAAGTGTGGATCAGGGGTGCAAAGGGGGCGTGGCCAAAGACATCCCTGGAGAATTGGGACACCCTACGCACTCGCACCCTTTATCGGGAACGCGCAAATGAGGGGCGCAAGGGTGGAAGTGCGAGTATTGGGACTGGGCTTAAATAATACAGGGGATGAAAATGAATGAATGAATGAATGAAGATAAACGTTGTTGATCTTACAATGGAGAAATGTACATAGATAGTATCCCTCAGATTGTGATAAATGATAGGAAGTGTGCAAACATGTGAAAGGTTAAAGATATAGTGTCTTTAGTGCTGAGGCGTCACACCCAATTAGGAATTATGTTATGAATGTGTGGTGGATAAAGGTTCATGGATGGAGTTTGACAGAGTGACTTTGAGCAGTGTCAGCAACATCCATCTTACTGTATATATACACTAATGTACTTCATGTATATATATTTTTGTTCATGTGTCAACCCCTGTATCTTCTTTAGTGTTACTTCCTGTTTCCTGATGCCCTGCCCTCACGTGTGTCACCTGTGTGTCGTCAGTATTGCATTTAAACCCTAAGTGTTCCATCACTCCCTGTTCTGTCGCTGTCTGTTTCAATTCTTGTCCCTGTTTAGTTTAGTTTTGTAGTGCTTTCCCTGTATTTTTATTAAATCCATTATTTTGCAGTTCTGTGTTTTGGGTCTTCCTTGTTTTTCACGCACAAGACTCTAATGTACAAAATCAAAATAATGTCTTTCTCATACTAATGGCAGTGTCTGTGCACAGTGCTGTAGTGAATATTCATTTGGGAATAAGTGATGTTTTGTCTTTTGTTTGTTGTCGGTTGATTTGCTGAAACAATCTGATTTAAACACAATAAAAACAGGCTTTTGTGTGATGCACTTCTCATCACGGCTCAGATAACGACATTCTAATCAAACAATGAGCTAAAATAAAACACGTAAACAATGCCTGCTGTTGTGTTTATGAAAGATTATATGATACTGAGCAAAACATTCTAAAATTAGAATCATATCTGCAACGGAGGGTCACACCAGAATACAGTAGTGTTGACAAAACTGAGACGGAAACCTCAAGAATAACTCTAACAACTTAAACCACGAGACTCTAAAACAATAGAAATGTTCGTCATCTGCTGGTGGTTCGCAGAACTGATAACATTTACATTATAATAACAGGTGATGATCCAGGACATTTAACAACGTTTAGAGTCTGTGCGTTATCCCTGTACGTTAAAGGATTTTTATTTAAATGTCTAGAGTGCCTCGGATTTTTCTCTTTTCCTCTTTCCTCTATCTCTTTTCTTTCGTGGACAATTCAATCTGGAAACACTCGAGATGATGAGTGCATTAGAATATTTGCTCATCACGATGTCACGATGCAAGAATAAAGTCTGAATGCAGACTTAGATTGAGGACTATTAGTAATGTTTATGTAAGTAATGTTTACCTATACTTTATTTGCTAATATATTTATTAATACGTTTTGGTGAGTAGACCCCGGCAGGAAAACTGCTGACGTCTGCAGAAGGGAGTTTAATAGAAATGATTAGCTTGCGACCCACCGGGGCCTAGAACTTCGAGGAGAAGAAGCTGAGCCGAAGACATGACATGATGCTGCACTGAAGAGAAGGTGATGGGGAGGAGGAGGGTTGCTGCTCGAACAGAAGCTTGAGTTGCAGAGAACTGAGAGGCTCTGATTAAATACAGCCATGATGAGCTCACGTTTGTTACTGAAGCTGAGAATGAGGCTGAGCTCAGGGCAGGTGTGTAAGATAAGATAAGAGTTCCTTTATTCGTCCCAAAGTGGGGAAATGTTGAAGAGGGAGGGGTCAGTGCAAAGAGGGAGGAGTCTGTGCAAAGGGGGAGGAGTGAGCGCAAAGAGGGAGGAGTCAGTGCGAACAGGGAGGAGTCACTGCGAAGAGGGAGGAGTCAGTGCAAAGGGGGAGGAGTCAGTGTAGAGGGGGAGGAGTCAATGCAAAGGGGGAGGAGTCAGTGTAAAGGAGGAGGGGTCAGTGTGGCAGCATGACGCATCTTCCAGTCTGAATTTGTGCTTCATTAAAGCTTCATTAAAGCATACAAAGAAAATCATCAAAAATATTCAAAAGCCTGAATTTACATAAAATCTATAAATCATGTGTAAATCATACATTACATTAAACATTGATGTTTCTTTTGCGATAATCTACAGAGTTATTTTTAGAGTGTCTGATATCTGTAATCTCTGAACTCTGTGACCGTTTGACATTAACTTTGTTGACTCTGTGTCTGTCCTTCACTGATGCTTGTTATTCTACACATACATTCCTCGTCCCGCTCCTTGCAGACACACCGGCCTTGTGGACATTTGCTCCTGACTCAACTTTGATGAACCCGACTGAGGAAGTGAAGGACAATCTGAGTATCATTATGTGAATTATCATTCTCAGTTTCATTCTCAAACAAACAGCATAAAACAGTTTCTATGGACCAGGATCAAAGAGAAAATGTCGATCTTCAGCACTGGCCCCAATGGTACTGACTCTCTCACTCCAGGTCTGTACTGCATGTGTCTTGCCTCAGGGCACAAAAACAGTCATAGATATAAATGCAAACTGCTGCAAAGGTCTCCCTCAAAACATGTAACAGACTCACTATAGTTAAATAATCACTCAAGCTTTCATTTCAAAACCAGTACAACACAAATGTAATTGTAATTGTAATTTGATTAAAAAAAAAAAAGTGGCGCCTGGTTCTAGAGCCATCTCCAAATAAGAATAAGAACTTTTCCTTCATAGGTTTGAAGCTCAGGTGTGATCAGATCATCAGCAGCTGTGGATTGTTCTAAAACACTTAAGTAAGATTTATTTTAGTTTAGTTTAGTTTAGTTTAGTTCTCCAGACTGGTCCAGATTTTAAAACAGCTTTGACTGGACTCCAAAAACAGAGACAAGACAAGAACCACGGAACAAACATTCAATGAACTGACAACAGGAAGAAAGAGCTCAGGGATTTGACCGGGACGCACAGGTGTAACACAAGAGGGCGGGGCCATCAGCAGAACAGGAAGTAAAACTCAAAAAGACTTAGGAAAACACATAAAACACAATAAAACGGGAACTAAACTAAACAGGCGCCGCAGTGGGGTGGCTGTGCCATACTACCGTTGTGTCCTTAGGCAAGACACTTCACCCACATTGCCGTGTGGAGTTGGAGGGGCTGATGGCTGCTACCATTCGATGTCGGTGGGCCCCGGGGCAGCTGTGGCTACAGTTGTGAAGTAATACCTCATCACCACTGAGTATGGAGTGATTGAATAATACTGAGAGGCGTCTTTGAGTTTGCAAAAACTGAAATATTTAGCTCAAGGCGGCCCACAGTCTTTTCTTAGTTTGATGCTAAAATTAAAATGGGATATTAAAGTACAATAAAGCATTAATTAATTATTATTTCATTTAATTTCAAACTTGGCGTAGACAAAGCTACACTGTTTGAAATGGGGCGACAAGACGAGCCCACGGCGGCTCCAAACACACGCCGCTCCATTCGCCAACATCACGTTTGTAGAAATCAATCTTGAAACAGGAAAGTACAAATCTACATCAGCAGTTTCTGTTTCCACTGGAGCTGTTTAGAAATATTTATTTACTACAGAAGTGACTTTATCACAGTCAAAGTAAACATCAGATTCAGCTTCAGTTGCTGCAGGAAACAGGGATTCACTTGTTTTTGTTTTTGTGAGTTTGTTTTGTTCTGTATCTGTTTGTTTTTCCTTCGGCTGAAAAAATGTAACTAAGCAAGTCACACAAGTGCAATTTATACTGTAGACAGGAACTGTTTGGACTTTGGAACTATGTTTTTACTTTAAATGAATGGACTGATGTGTGTGTGTCTGTCTGTGTGTGTGTGTGTGTGTGTGTGTGTGTGTGTGTGCCTGTCTGTGTGTGTGTGTGTGTGTGTGTCTGTCTGTATGGGTTAGTGTGTGTGTCTGTCTGTGTGTGTGTGTATGTCTGTGTGTATTCTGTATTGTCTTTTTGATCTGTTTTAATGTATTTTGTGGTTTTAATTGCTCCTTTAAGCTCTTTGTATTTTCCTTGTCCACACATTGTGCTATTTGAATAAATGCTTCTGTTGCCAAATTTTTGTCGTCACAAATACAGTACAGTATTAAGGATATCGGGAATTATTTCTGTAAAACTCTTCACAAAAAACTCAAACATATTCATTTCAGTTGGTTTTAAAGAATGCTATATTTTTAAAAAGTCAAATTCATATTAAAAAAACTGTTACATATTTTCCTGATTCTTTCTTTTACGATTTTTTTTATATATATTTCTGTTTTCAGTTTGTCACTTGAAGCTTCCAAATAAAGATTATAAACAATTAGTCACATTTTCGTCACGTTGGAACTGTCCATGACGTTGAAAAGCCTCAGTTGCACACCACCTGCTCCTCTTCTTCCTCTATCTCCCCCAGACCTTTATCAGTCCCACTCTGTTGTTGACTCGCACCATGTTCCTGATAGAGTCCCCAAAACCCAACGACTTCTCATCAGCCTCCCCCCCCCCCTCACCCTCTCTCCCCCCTCTCCCCCCCTTTCTCCCCCTCCCTCCCCTCTCCCTAGCTCCACGCAGCGAGGACACAGGCCCATGGGAACCGTCTATCGCTTCAGACTGTATCAGAGTTGTTGACACCAAAGATTCTCTTGTAATGAAAACACTGCTGACATTGGCCTTTGGCACAAACAGCTCCTGTGCAGAGAGAGAGACCAGAGAGAGACCAGAGAGAGACCAGAGAGAGAGAGACCAGAGAGAGACCAGAGAGAGACCAGAGAGAGACCAGAGAGAGAGAGACCAGAGAGAGACCAGAGAGAGACCAGAGAGAGAGAGAGAGACCAGAGAGAGAGACCAGAGGGAGAGAGACCAGAGAGAGAGACCAGAGGGAGACCAGAGAGAGACCAGAGAGAGAGACCAGAGAGAGAAAGACCAGAGAGAGAGACCAGAGAGAGAGAGAGAGAGACGAGAGGGAGACCAGAGAGGGACCAGAGAGAGAGACCAGAGAGAGAGACCAGAGAGAGACCAGAGAGAGAGACCAGAAAGAGAGAGACCAGAGAGAGACCAGAGAGAGAGATCAGAGAGAGAGAGAGACCAGAGAGAGAGAGAGCCCAGAGAGAGACCAGAGAGAGAGACCAGAGCAAGAGAGAGAGAGACCAGGGAGAGACCAGGGAGAGACCAGAGAGAGACCAGAGAGAGACCAGAGAGAGACCAGAGAGAGAGACCAGAGAGAGACCAGAAAGAGACCAGAGAGAGACCAGAGAGAGAGACCAGAGAGAGACCAGAGAGAGACCAGAGGTAGAACAGAGAGAGACCAGAGAGAGAGTTTGGGTCTGTTTCTGCAGCATCATCTTCATCCATCGTCCGGAGCTCATAAAGTCCACATTACAACTGTTTTAATCCTAATCCCAGTGACAAAACTCAAAGTTTAATCATGTATATTTTAGAATGAATAGCAGATTATATATATTTGGTTGTTTGAATGTCAGTAACTAATTTGGTCGCCATCTTTGAGAGTGGATTAGAGTTAATTCATAAACATCTATAGTCATCCGCCTCCAACAGACCAATGACCGCATGTGTTTCTGGATATTGCATTTACTAAGTTCTTTTTGATTTTCTGAGCTGTTGGTGAGGAATCGTCAACTTCTCAAATCCTCCAAAACTAAATTAAATTGAATATGAATGACCAATCTTTCCTGGTCTAATTTCTAAGTCTATCTGGAAGATGACCCTGGACTTCCTGTTTGAGCTCATCCAGAGAAAGAGGAGAATCTTCTAGATCTTGGGTCAACATTCCTCGGTCTTTGGACCTCGCCCGAAAGCCAAGGTCAGTTCCTCCGTGTCCGCTCCTTTATGCACCATTCTACCCCCGAGAATCTGCAAGAAAAACAAACCAGGCTGCAGACATTTAACATGGGACTCCCGGGGTGCGGAGACCAGGCCCAGACCAGGCCCAGACCAGGAGGAGACCAGGAAGGACCAGACCCAGACCAGACCCCCGCTGCATCTGTGGACCTGTGGATTGTTTTCACCTAACGCAGGACACGGCGCTATCATAATAAATGGAGATGAGGTGGTGACAGACGGCGTTAACCCTGAGCTGAACGGAACGAGACCGAGGGGAGAGGGCTGAATGGAAGGAGACCGAGGGGAGAGGGCTGATGGCAGCGTGTGCCGGGCGTCTGTCTGAGGCTAGATTATGTTTGGGCGAAAGACTGAAGAGAACACACACACAGACAGAGACACACACACACACACACACACACATGCACACACACACACACACACACACACACACACACATGGTCAGGTCAACAGTGTTTGTTAGCCCTCGTTGTTCGTTGTACAGTCTGACATCAACGGGAAGAAGAGACCTCAAAGTGCAACAGATTAAAATACAACACCACAAACAAAACAAATAAATAGCATCAGAAATACATAAATACATCAAAAAGCTCAAAAGAATGATAAAAAGTCTTAAAAAAGGCTATCCCTCACCTTAACTAGAAGAGTCACAACGAAAGAAATTGGACATTAGAATATTAGTCTATTTAGTGTACAACATCTAAGTATTCGTAACCTTGTGTGTACAAATGTTTTAGACTTTTGAAGACATTACTAAAACCGGCTGATTTGAATCTGTAGTTTCAGACAAAGCTGACTTCCTCATTCCAGACTGAAGCAATCGCTGCAGAATCAAAGCCAGCAATTTATCAGAGAAGTGCGAGTGGAGCTGGCATCGGGCCATTGTTCTGCCCGGACCCTTGAGCAAACACACTCAGGGCCTTAAGCTAATTACCGGAGTCCTGGACCTGGTCTTTGATGGAGGCGGGTCCAGGGCCGTGACTGACAGGATGTGGGACTGGGTTCTGCGCTCGCGTGCTCCCAGATAAGAAACCCACGCTCCTTTCCCCTCTTTCATGTTTGTCACGAGTCTTAATGGGCTTTTCCAAACAAACAGAGACGCTGCAGGAATAGAACCTCTCTTTTATTAGTTTGTGTTGAAGAAACTGAAGTGTGAGTGCTTTTCTTTCTTTTTTTCTCACTGGAAGTTGTGTTTAGAGTCATTCATGGAGGGTTGAAGATTTCCATCCTTTTACATTCTCGGGATCAAAATTGCTCTGATATTGTCACGTGGTGGGAAGGAGGAGGACTCAAAATGCGAGAATGCTAAATAATGATTTAATGACGAAGATGAATACAAGGTAAAAACAAAATCAAAATCCAAACTGAACACAGGAACAAGGAACAAGGAACCAGGACACAGACAAAGACCAAAACAATACAATGGACCAGCAACAGGGGGAGAGGAGCACAGGTACATATTGACACAGGTACATATAGACACTGAGACAAAGGTACATATAGACACAGAGAGACACAGGTACATATAGACAGAGACAGAGGTTCATATAGACAGAGACACAGGTACATATAGACACAGAGAGACACAGGTACATATACTGTAGACACAGAGAGACACAGGTGCATAAAGACACAGAGAGACACAGGTACATATAGACACAAAGAGACACAGGTACATATAGACACAGAGAGACACAGGTACATATACTGTAGACACAGAGAGACACAGGTACATAAAGACACAGAGAGACACAGGTACATATAGACACAGAGAGACACAGGTACATATACTGTAGACACAGAGAGACACAGGTACATAAAGACACAGAGAGACACAGGTACATATAGACAGAGACACACAGGGGAACAAGACAGGAAGTACAACTAGAACCAAAACACAGCGAACCAATTTCAAAATAAAACACACGTTCGGTTGGTAGTGTTTGGTCTGTGAACCTGTCAGGTGTGGGTTTGATTCCCACAAGATCAATGTAACCTACTCCTGTGTAAGGCGATTCACCCCTCTTTGCCTGAAGCCACAGCTGAAAGAGCAAGGTGCAGCCCGTGCCCCCTTCTTTTTCTGATCGTTGCAGACTCCATGATCTTCTCACATTTTCTCCACACAGACGTCCCTCTGAGCAGGTGCCATAGTGGAGCTGTAAAGTGCCAAACTGTTGTGGTGTACTCAGGCAAGCCGTTTCACCCACATTATAGCATGAGTCTGGTCTGTGCGTGAATGTTTGGAGATCGCAGGAGTCTCGCTTCTGTCAGTGTGCCCCAGGGCAGCTGTGATTAGTAGAAGAATAATGACATGTGAAGCGTCTTTAAAGGAGTGTCCAAAAAAGCACTATAATATATGCATTACTATCATTATTATTATTATTATTATTATTATTATTATTATTATCATTGTTATTATTATACGTGAGGATGGGATGTTGGTTGCCAATCCAGAGCTTTGTCTACAGACGCTGCTCCCTCTGCTTCACTGCGCTCTCTGCCACCTCTGGTTCATTCGTTTCTTCCATGAAATAGTTTTTAATCAGTATTCTTGATTTAACAATGAACATAATTTACTGCTGTTTTATGTTTTTATAGATTCATAAAAACAAACATAAAAGTCTAACGTTTTACAATCGTGGCATTTTGTGTGTAAATAAAGGATGTTTTTTTCTTTTTCTGCAGAGACCAGGTCAGAGTTAATCTCTTTATCTGCTTCTTCTGCCGAGGCCTTGAGTTTCTCTGACTCTAATCTGGAAAGCCTCAGAAAGAAGAGGTCAGTTCTCATTGGTCGGTTCTCATTGGTCGGTTCTCATTGGTCAGTTCTCATTGGTCGGTTCTCATTGGTTGGTTCTCATGGTTTGGTTCTGATTGGTCGGTTCTCATTGGTTGGTTTTCATGGTTTGGTTCTGATTGGTCGGTTCTCATTGGTTGGTTTTCATGGTTTGGTTCTGATTGGTCGGTTCTCATTGTTCGGTTCTCATTGTTCGGTTCTCATTGTTCGGTTCTCATTGGTCGGTTCTCATTGGTCAGTTCTCATTGTTCGGTTCTCATTGTTCGGTTCTCATTGGTCGGTTCTCATTGGTCAGTTCTCATTGGTCGGTTCTCATTGGTTGGTTCTCATGGTTTGGTTCTGATTGGTCGGTTCTCATTGGTTGGTTTTCATGGTTTGGTTCTGATTGGTCGGTTCTCATTGGTTGGTTTTCATGGTTTGGTTCTGATTGGTCGGTTCTCATTGGTTGGTTCTCATGGTTTGGTTCTGATTGGTCGGTTCTCATTGGTTGGTTTTCATGGTTTGGTTCTGATTGGTCGGTTCTCATTGGTTGGTTCTCATGGTTTGGTTCTGATTGGTCGGTTCTCATTGGTTGGTTCTCATGGTTTGGTTCTGATTGGTTGGTTCTCATTGGTCAGTTCTCATGGATTGGTTCTGATCGGTCGGTTCTCATGGTTTGGTTCTGATTGCTCGGTTCTCATTAGAGATGTCCACATTGAAGTCAAATTTGCCCTATTTGTTGTGTTATCTCAGGGAGTGTGTAATCCAAACTGTTGTTTGAGACAATTGTAAAAAAAATAAAAATAAACATGGCACTTTTTCCCAAATTAAGTTTAAGTATTTTTTCTTATTTTGCACAGACAATGTTAACGTTTGGAAAGCCTTGTTGCATTCAGGAATGCATCCAGTGGGGCATCACAATAACATTTAAGCATGTTGTGTTAATTCCACAACAGGAGATATGTAATGTTACCTAAAAGTAACCCACATATCACCATCAGTATTGGCTGATATCGAAATCAAAAATTGAGAGTTAGACAATATTGGCATATCGGATATCGGCAAAAGGCCAATATCGGACATCCCTAGTTCTCATTGGTCGGTTCTCATTGGTTGGTTCTGATGTAAAATCCCAGGTTAAAATAAAAACAAAGTCCATAGTAACAAGGGGATTTAGAATAACTGCAGTTTTGTTCAGGTATATTTGTTTTTGCGTTACTTTTGTGGTTAGCTCTCTATCTTCTCAGGAAAAAAGTCCTGGGTTCGATTCCAGCTCTAGACAAAAGCCTTTCTGAGTGGAGTTTGCATGTTCTTCACGTTCTAACTGCATTTCCACATCACAAATCAGGTTTCTCTAATGTTCTCTGATTTTGAAACTACTAGTCCTTTTGACCGCTCCAGGACCAGTCCAGGACCAGACCAGCAACTCGAGCGAGGGGTCTTTAACTGCTATCAGTGCAAGATAATTTCTTGTATTACAAAAATCCAAGATAATTTCATAATAATAATGAAAAAAATTACATAAAGAGACAGAAAACACCACAAAATGAGGAAAACCAAATCAGCTGCTCCCAATCCAAGTAATTTACACTTTTGCAAAACTAAAAGCCGTCGTATTGACTGCTCAAAGCCGTCGTATTGACTGCTCAAAGCCGTCGTATTGACTGCTCAGGGAGGTCTGTGTCTCTCTCTGGCCCCGAGCTCCACCTCAGCTTTACTGCCATCGTCATAGTATTGTTTCTTTCTTCCACCAAACCCACACCCTGAGGTCACATGACACACTTTTACCTCCAGAAAAGTCAAATCCAGTTTCTGTGATTGTCGAGGAGTTTTTCTAAAGCTCGAGACTCGTTTGTTTGGTCTTTGTTCTTTCTGCGGAAATCTCTGACTTTTGAAGAAAAGGCTGAGGGTCAAATGAGAAGAGTCGGATGTGAACGGTTTGAACTGGATCAGAACCAAACTGAAAATAAGGTCTGTGAGGTCTGTGGGGTCAGTGGGTGAGGTCTGTTGGGTCTGTGAGGTCTGTGAGGTATGGGGTCTGTGGGGTCTGTGGGGTCAGTGGGTGAGGTCTGTTGGGTCTGTGAGGTCTGTGAGGTATGGGGTCTGTGGGGTCTGTGGGGTCTGTGAGGTCTGTAAGGTCTGTGGGGTCTGTGGGGTCTGTGGGGTCTGTGAGGTCTGTGAGGTCCTCCCTGTCTCTTGCAAAGTTTTTCCAATGGGGTTTTACTGCAAATGGCAAATAAATTCTTGTATCAAACTGCGATGTGAGTTTTTAACATTTTGACAATATTCTCAAAGTGACACAAGATACAAAATACAAGATTTTATTTACCATTAGCTGTAAAACCCCCTTGGAAAAACTCTGCAAGCCCCGCCCAGTGTGTAGCAGACAGAGGCGTCAGACGAGTGAGATCAAAGCAGTCTCTGAAAATAATATGGTAGCAAAGTTTAAAGTTTAGGAAAAAGGTGAGTTTACGTTTCACCTTCGTCTATTTGTGCATGTGTGTTTTTTATTTATTTATCATTATTATTATTATTATTATGTTTTCTTTCTGTATTGTCTTGTCTTAGTCTTATGTGGTGTTGTTCTTGTTGAATGTTGATGTGTCTGTTTTGTCGTCTTTAATAAATAAAAAAGAAAAAAGAAAAAGAAAAAAAATAAATTCTGGACATTTGAAAACAAATCTTGAGTTTATTTATAGTTGTTTATGTTTCTGTTGTTGGGGCCGTAGCTGCAGGGGAGAGCTAGATCCTGTCAGATCTCTGAAGCTAAGCAGGACAGGGCCTGGTTAGTCCTGGGATGGGAGACCTTTGGGAACCGCAGGTGCCACAGTGGGGCGGCTACGGCTGTGAAGTGCCAAACTGTGGTTGTGTCCTTAGGCAAGACACTTCCCCCACATTAGAATGAGTCTGGTGTGTGTGAAAGGTTGGTGGTGGTGGGAGGGGCTTCTGTCAGTGTGCCCCAGGGCAGCTGTGGCTACAGTAGTAATTTATCTCCACAGTGTTTGGAGAGAAAGAATAATGATGTGAAGAGACTTTGAGAGTCCATCCATCCATTTTCTTCCCCTTATTCCATTTCTGGGTCAGGGGGGGGGGGGGGGGTGGCAGTCAGAGCTGCACCCAGTACACAGAGCACCAGCCCCTCACTGATCCTCCTGCAGGTGGTGAGTCCACAGGAGCTGTCTTTGAGAGTCCTGAAAAGCAATACTACCAAAAACACTGATAAATTATTATTATTGTTTATTATGTCATTATTCTTCATTTTTGCTGAGTCCTGGATTTGACCTAGATTTTTGGGCTCAATTCAAAGAAAGTAATCTTTCTTTATACAGACGCGTTCACAGAGTCACAAACGGGTTTTACACATTTGTGTGTATTTTTCCTCTTACTCCACACAAAAGATTAATACATGCGAAAACTCCAGATAAAACCAAATTGATTTGAGTTATTTTTGTTGTGGTTTGAAAGTCAGGTACCGCAGCTTTAATGGAGCAGGTTTATCTTTTCTCTTTGAGGATAATACTTCCTCAGGATCATGTTCCAGAAGCTTTGGTTTTGGGAAATACTCGACAAAAGGATAAACGTCGGCTTTGACTGAGAAGGTGTGAAGTTCATAGTATATAATCCTCCTCCTCTTCCTCACCTGAGACTGAGACTACAGGTGTGTTTGTGTATGTGTGTGTTTTTGTGTGCATCTGTGTGTGTCTTTGTGTGTGTGTGTGTGTCTGTGCGTGTGCATCTCTGTGTGTCTGTGTGTAGGTGTGTATGTGTGTGTGTGTGTGTGTTTCTGTGTCTGTGTGTGTGTGTGTGTGTCTCTCTGTGTGTGTGGGTGTGTGTGTGTGTGTGTCTCAGGGGCCTCTTCAGTGCTCTGCTCACACACGTCCCGGGACAAAGACCTGACACCTGTGAGAGCATAGGTCGTGATGAGGAGGATGAGGATGAGGTGAAGAGCAGAGTGTACGTTTTATGAAAGCAGTGGAAGAGAGCAAAATGGGAAGTATGTGTGAGCAAGTATGTGACATCTCACCCAGAGGGAAGAAGCTGGAACATGGTTTTTCCAGGAGTTATTGATTATTTTATGACCTTGATTAAAGAATAAGAGTCAGTAGAACATTTGGATCTACAAAAACCAGTCTAGCAAAAACAGAGTTGGTCTCTCTCTGGTCTCGCCCTGATCCTCCCTCTCTCTTGGGAGAGACTGAAGAGTTGTCGTGCAGAAGTCTCTGAGTCTGTGGCTTCTGTGTCGGTGCCTCCTCCATCAGCGCTATCCTCGTCTTCAGGAGCTGACTTCACCCTCACTCTTTCACAATTGGAATTTGCAAAAACATGATTACAGTGAAAACAGAGGAAAGTCAAAATAACTTTCCTCAGGTGAGTGACAGGGTGCTTCCTCAGAGACAGGTGTTCAGCTGACTGGAAGAGCTCGAAGTAGAGCTGCAGCCTCTCCACTTAGAGAGGAGTAGATGTGGTCCCACTGAGAGGAGACCAGGACAGACCCAGGACCCGTGAAGTGGAACTAAATTTATTGGATAATTTAAACCTTTTTTAACAAATAAAAAACTGGTAAAGTGGGGCGTGCAATATTATTCGGCCCCTTTACTTTCAGTGCAGCAAACTCACTCCAGAAGTTCAGTGAGGATCTTTGAATGATCCAATGTTGTCCTAAATGACTCATGATGATAAATAGAATGCACCTGTGTGTAATCAAGTCTCCGTATAAATGCACCTGCTCTTTGATAGTCTCAGGGTTCTGTTTAAAGCGCAGAGAGAACCATGAAGACAAAGGAACACACCAGGCAGGTCCGAGATACTGTTGTGGAGAAGTTTAAAGCCGGATTTGGTTACAAAAAGATTTCCCAAGCTTTAAACATCTCAAGGAGCACTGTGCAGCAATTATATTGAAATGGAAGGAGTATCAGACCACTGCAAATCTACCAAGACCCGGCCGTCCCTCCAAACTTTCATCTCAAACAAGGAGAAGACTGATCAGAGATGCAGCCAAGAGGCCCATGATCACTCTGGATGAACTGCAGATAACTACAGCTGAGGTGGGAGAGTCTGTCCATAGGACAACAATCAGTCGTGCACTGCACAAATCTGGCCTTTATGGAAGAGTGGCAAGAAGAAAGCCATTTCTCAAAGATATCCATAAAAAGTCTTGTTTAAAGTTTGCCACAAGCCACCTGGGAGACACACCAAACATGTGGAAGAAGGTGCTCTGGTCAGATGAAACCAAAATCGAACTTTTTGGCCACAATGTAAAACGATATGTTTGGCGTAAAAGCAACACAGCTCATCACCCTGAACACACCATCCCCACTGTCAAACATGGTGGTGGCAGCATCATGGTTTGGGCCTGCTTTTCTTCAGCAGGGATAGGGAAGATGGCTAAAATTGATGGGAAGCCAAATACAGGACCATTCTGGAAGAAAACCTGTTGGAGTCTGCAAAAGACCTGAGACTGGGATGGAGATTTATCTTCCAACAGGACAATGATCCAAAACATAAAGCCAAATCTACAATGGAATGGTTCACAAATAGATGTATCCAGGTGTTAGAATGGCCAAGTCAAAGTCCAGACCTGAATCCAATCTAGAATGTGTGGAAAAAGCTGAAGACTGCTGTTCACAAACGCTCTCCATCCAACCTCACTGAGCTCGAGCTGTTTTGCAAGGAAGAATGGGCAAGAATTCCAGTCTCTCGATGTGCAAAACTGATAGAGACCAGTGTTGGGCACGTTACTTTGAAAAAGTAATTAGTTATAGTTACTAGTTACTTCTCCCAAAAAGTAACTGAGTTACTAATGAAGTTACTCCACTATAAAAGTAACTAGTTACCAGTAAAAGTAACTATTGCGTTACTTTTTCGTTCTGTTCTGGAACATAATGTGCACTCGACGTGCGCAGTTTTACCTTTAACCTCAGTGAGTCTGAAATAGTGCCAATATTTCCATCTAGAAAAGTCTGTTTTGCTGCTGAAGTCCTGTTCACTCTTCATCTCTCTCTGTGCTGTAAGCACTAAACACAAACACCAGCCACTGTGAATGTGGAAACACCGGTGAAGCACTGACTTCAGACCAATCAGATGAACATATATATCATATAAATCAAGTGGACAATTTGTTTGGCTACAGCAAAATATGTTTCATGGCCGCATTGTTTGTTCATACAAAACGCAAAACTATGAGTTATGGGTCTTACCTTATAAATGACCTGCACAGACCACTTCAGTTCAGACCAGTTCTGTGTTTAAGTCCAGATAATAGTTTGAGCGTAGATATGTAATCCTCCATTTGGAAATGAGTTTTAAAAAGTAAAACAAAACGCGTGTGTCCTCCGTAAACTACTCTGTTTTGCTAGGTGCAGCCGGGTGCATCCAATTTCTAAAATCAACAGTCTTACACTTCACCTCTCTTTCTTATCGTTCCTATAGTAATTGAAAAATTACCGTAAGTGCATTTTAAATTATCTTAAAATGTGTTATATGTATGTTAGCCAAACTTGTTGCAGCCCTTAGCAGATAAACCAGCAAGAGAAAGGAGCTTTCAGATGGAATTGTATGCAGCCGACTTCTGCGCTCACATGCGCTCCTCTGAGGCTGGCCTCACGGTGATACAAGCCGTGGTTGAGCGCGACTAAGACCCATCTTTGTTTCAAAAACACAATTTATGACCATCCTCTCAACTGTAGACATGTAGATTGTAAAGGAAATATGTTTTACATCAGCCAATAATTGCTGAGAGGTTTTCTCATCCTCCCTTCTCTCATGACAACACGCGCACGAGTCCTATCACGAAGTAAAAAGAGAAGTTCATTGTGCGTCTTGAGTAACGCGCAGTAACGGGATGTCGGAAATGATAACGGCGTTATAGTTACAGTCAAAGTAATTAGTTAGATTACTCGTTACTGAAAAAAGTAACGCCGTTATTCCCATCACTGATAGAGACATACCCCAAGCGACTTGCAGCTGTAATTGCAGCAAAAGATGGCGCTACAAAGTATTAGCGCAAGGGGGCCGAATAATATTGTACGCCCCACTTTTCAGTTTTTTATTTGTTAACAAAGTTTAAATTATCCAATAAATTTTGTTCCGCTTCACGATTGTGTCCCACTTGTTGTTGATTCTTGACATTTATTTTTATTTTTATATCTTTATGTTTGAAGCCTGAAATGTGGCAAAATGTTGAAAGGTTCAAGGGGGCCGAATACTTTCGCAAGGCACTGTAAATGCTTCAATATCAATCTTTCAAAACCATCCGTATAATGTAAAGTTACAGACTGTATACATAGGGCAGGGTAATAAGCATTAAGTGACATTCAATGACTGCCTGAAGTTGCAGTATTTACTTTTTTTTTTACAGATGAATGACATCTACAGGCTCAGCAGTTCTCATCGTACAGTCTGACAGCGGCAGGAAGGTGTTTAAAGCGATTCCAGAAATGTGTGTGTCCCGTGTGTGTCCCTTGTGTGTCCCGTGTGTGTCTCTCCACTCCACTGCGTCTCCATACAGTCCAGGTGCGAGATTCTTCTTTGTGATGCTCTGGACTTATGGGGCCTCTTCAGTCTGTCAGATACCTGCGCTTTGAAGTCTGGGAAGTCCTTTCTGCTGTGGGTCAACATTCCTACACACACACACACACACACACACACACACACACACACACACACACACACACACACACACACACACACACACACACACACACACACACACACTGGCTCTACAACAACACACCTGCACGTGTATAGACAGGCACAGACACCGCTGAGAGGGTGAGGAGTAACAAAAGGAGAGGAGTGGAGAGAAGAACAAGCAAACACAATAGGGATGTGTCAAACAGACTCGCTATAATTTCAATCTGACATAATATTGTTCGAATCAGAGCAGGTATTTGTGCTCCAGGTCGAAACATCAAAGAATCTGGGGCAGTTTTTTACATTTATACATTTGCAAAAGCTGCTTCTGCATTTGTGTTAATGTCTGTGTCTACATTAAAGTCTTACAAACATCTGAGCGGGTCAGTTTCCTCCATTCTTCTGTGATTCCAGCCTCTGCTCGGTCCTGACTCAGACTCAGCAGCGTGTGTGTGTGTGTGTGTGTGTCTGTATCTGTCTGTCTGTGTGTGTGTGTGTGTCTGTTTGTAACTGTGTGTGTGCACTTGTTTTCAACTCCTGGTGGGTTCCATAACCTGAGATTCCACTCACGTCATGGGGACTGGTTTTACGTGGTGGGGCCCGAACACCGGACCCCACTGGTCCAAGCTTAATAATCAATGGGTAATGCTTTTCTAACGGTCCTTATGCAGTCTCTGTAAAAATATGGAAAGGACCCCTGGAGGTTTACTTTCCTGAAAAAAGTGTGTTATGTGTCGGAACCCTGGTGGTGGGTTGCGGGATATCAAGGAGGGGCACACTGGGGCAATTTCAGTCCAGCAGGCTGGAGCCAATCATGGAGCAGCACAACAGAGGAAATCAGGTGTCAGGCTAGAAAAAGGTGCAAGTGTGTGGTTCATTAGGCTGCAAGAAATCATGGAGGAGCACACTGAAGCGCACGCTTACAAACCACTGGTAAGTGCTGACTACAAGTCATGACTTCAAATTGTTATATAGAATGATTACAAATTATTTGTTGTTTGTGCAGCTTAGTCAAGAGTCCCTAATTGATGAAGTCGACTCAGATTCTGACGATTTAACTGTCAAGAAGAAACCTGTAAAAAAGTATGGAAAAAGAAAAATCAAAAACACTTTTCTTCAAGACTCGGAAAGTGACGAACCAAAGGCAAATAAGATTGTCATCATGCAGCTGCAAAAGAAGAAAAATGGGGGGCGAGTATACAGCAAGAGACACTTCTGCCTCTACTGTTCAATGTCCTGCCACAAAATGTCCCGTCGTTTGACTAGAAAACATGGAAATGAAAGTGACGTAGCCAGAGCATTGGCTCTACCTGTGAAATCTAAAGCACGTAAACTTCAGTTTGATTTGATCAGGAATAGTGGAAACCGTGAGCACAATTTTGAGGTTTTAAAGGCCGGCATTGGAACTTTAGTCCCAGCTAAACAGCCAAATTCCCCAGTTAAATCCAGTGAGTTTTTGCACTGTATAGACTGTGGGGCATTGCTTAAGCGAAAGTCGCTGTGGAGGCATGTGGCCAGGTGCCGGCTTTCACAGAAAGATGCCCAGGCTAAACCAGGTAGAAGTAGGGTCCAGTCCCTCTGCTCCCTAGCCCAGCCTGTACCGGAGGGCATCAGCAAAAAGCTGTGGTCTTTAATTTCGGCAATGCATCAGGATGAGGTCACGGGTGTTGTCAAAGCAGAAAAGGGGATTCTGAGACTCGGAGAGCACCTGTACTTAAAACACGGGCATGATAAGACAAAGCATGATTACATTAGGCAGAAAATGAGAGAAGTCGGTAGGTTAATTAACGAAGCAAAAACCGCAGGGAAACTGAAAACAATTAAGGATTTCTTTATTCCTTCCAACTTTAACCATGTGATTGATGCAGTCAGGTCTGTGGCTGGATATGATGAGGAAACAAATCAATACAAGACTCCATCCTTGGCCCTCAAACTCGGCCATAGCCTCAGAAAGCTAGCAGATATTCTTGAATGTGACTCAAAAATGGAGCATTGTGTTGATGAACTATTTATTAAAAACCTCCAACGAAGCCGGCTGCTTTTTGAGAAGAGGTGGGACGTCTGTGTTTCTTCTGCTGCCCTACAGACCCTCCGGCAAGCCAAGTGGAACACTCCGGACCTGCTCCCTCTGACTGAGGACGTTAGAGCCATGCATGCACATATCGAGGTATGTCGACCTGAATATGTGCAAACCCTAATAAGTGAGCCAACGTCTAAGCATTGGTCTAAACTGGCAGTTTTGACTCTTTGTGAGGTCATCATTTTCAATCGAAGAAGGGAAGGTGAGGTTTCAAAGATGCCACTGACAGCCTTTACCTTAAGAAGTAAGACTGGGATCCATTCTGACATTGCTCTGGGACTGTCCCAACTTGAGAAAAAGCTGTGTCAGCATTTTCAACGCATTGAAATTAAAGGGAAAAGAAGTCGGAAAGTGCCGGTTCTTTTGACTCCTGAAATGATTGCTTCGATGGAGGTGCTGGTGGAGAACAGAAGGGCCTGTTCCATCTCTGACCATAACCCATACTTCTTTTCCCGCCCGGGCGCAGACACCCACATCAGGGGATCAGACTCCCTACGCCAGGTAGCCAAAGAATGTGGTGCGGTGCATCCAGAGATGCTATCCTCAACCAAACTTAGAAAGCACATAGCTACTATGTCTACAGTTCTCAATATGAAAGAGAATGAGATGGACATACTTGCCAACTTCCTCGGCCATGACATTCGCATCCACAGGCAATATTACAGACTACCAGAGGGGACACTGGAGCTGGCCAAAATCAGCAAAGTGTTGATGGCCATGGAGCAGGGAAGAGTGACGGAATTCAAAGGAAAGAGCCTCGACCAGATACAAATTGAGCCTGAAGGTAATTCTTGATATTATTAAAATATGTATGATTTTTTCCCCCTAAAGGCCACTTGTATTTTTATTTTCTGTGCGACAGGGAGAGCAGTAGAGATCCTCTCACAAACGGACGGGCTAAAAGAAACTTCAAGCGGAGAACCTTCAACCATTCATCCAGATGCACCCCATGGTAGTGGCAGTGCCCCTTCTGGTAAGTGTACCAGGTGGGGGATTACAGCCAGGCTGCTTGGTCCTCACCCTGGGAGTGTATATCGCTAATATATTTTTATTTCTCTCCCTAGAACGTGTAAGAAAGCCATGGTCTGCATCTGGGGTGAAGGCTG